AAGTTCTGTCTGCTCTGCTGGGCACCAGAGATGAGAGGTTCCTGGACAGCATGGGAGGAAAAGCTGGAACTCAAGCCATGCACGGTTTTGAGCCTGTTTGCCACTCGTAGCTATAGTCTGTGACAACGATGATATCTTTAAAATATGTTGGGATTGCACACAGCATAATCACATGCCCTATAACACCACTAATGCCTGAAAGCACCACAGCTTTCCAGAGCTGAGGCAGGTCTGGGATGTTCTCCACTACAATTTGAGGGCATTGCAGGCTTCCTAAACTTCCAAATAAATCAAAGTCGTGTGCGACACAGCAAGCCACGATCAGCATAGTGCATTTGGGGCATCACACGAGGCAAGCACACTGGGTGCTGGATAAGGTAAAGAAGAAAATGTTGAGTCTCTGAGTGTCAAACTCCTCCCAAGCGCTCTGGAGCTGCTTGGGTTTGGTTTCCAAGCCTATTATAATTGTGAGACTCTCTTCTTCCCTCTAGCGTCCATTTCGAGGTGTTCCTCTTGCTCTTTAGCTAAAGCGGCGCTTGCCTGGTTGCATGTGCAGTCACTCCCTTCCTGAGGCACAGGTTTAGTATTTCTAAATGATACTGCAACTCTCCACTCAGGAATCCGACGTTTTATTTTTCGGTTTACGCTGTGCCATGCAGGAGGATCCTGTTGCAAGGCTGTCATTCCCTGGCACGTTTGAAAAATGATCTCAATTACTCCCTTAATTTTAGCACGATGGTGCTGAGCTACAGCTGGGGATGCACAGCCACAATGAGATATCCAATGGCAGCGGGGAGAGAACGTGACAGTGGTAAATGTGTTGTTTGAGGGAAGAGTCAGAGCAAGCCCCTGCTCTTGTTGCCTTTGTAAGACTGTGCTACATCTCTCAGATCAGGATTTGTCCTTGGGCTGTAGGAAACCAGTGCAAAGCTGAAAAATTACTCCACTGACCCTAAGGCTGGATCAAGGCTGTCGCTGAAAGGTTGTTTTATCTCTGGTGACAGCAAGAGACCTCTCAGGCAGGATCTCTATTCCCTGGGTCCCCTCCCAGATAGCTGGACTGATTTTTGTAAGTCCAGCCAGCTTCCTCCTCTTTGAGGACAGAGATAACACACATTCCCCTCTTCTGGGGACTGGGCAGCAGACCTGCACTCTGAGATGCAGCTGCAAGAGGCCAGCCCTCTGCCTGCACACATGGTCTGCGGCACACCCTGAATTCAGTCCAGGACAAGTCCTCCTTGCTGTCCGGCAGCTGTCCTGACCTACCTGCCCCACTGCCTGCACCTCCCTGGAAGGTCCAAAAGCTTCACAGGCCTGCTCAAAGAGCCATGTGCACTGACTTGAGGTGTGCTGCCCCAGCAGGCAGGCTCATGCTGTCTCCACTCTCCACGTCCAATGGAGAAAATCTCAGCCAGGATGTTTCCACTATCCCCCAGGGTAACTTTAGAGGAGCAAGACACAGTAAAAACATGGCCAGGATACTCTGGCATACTGAGAAACTATTGCAGGGCAGGATTCATCTCACCTCCATTATCAATGGAGAGACTGGCACTGTTGGAGCAAAAGCCATCAGACTAATCATACCCCAGGAGTGTCTGTGTTCTACCATGGCCCATGGCAATGAACCTAAACATGTCAGGCTCTGAACAAGCCAAGGAACCATGTAGGAAGTAACCCTGAGCTGACCTGTCAATTGCACGTATTTGAAGAGGAGGCACGTACAAGACTTTTCCTCCTGAACAACTCCTGGGCCAAAGCTCTCCTCCTTGACAGACAAAGAAAGCATCTCCTCTTCATCCTTTAATGAAGGTGAATTTGTTCCAAGTGCAAAGCAATCCCAAGCCTTCAATGAGAGGAATGGCCTCGGTAACTACCACGACATCCCCGAGCCCTGTGGGGGTGTGCTGTGCACACAGCTGCCGTGGGGACACTGTCCCCAGATGGGATGCTGAGGTCTCTGCAAGGGGTAGGGCTCTGCAGAGCTAGGAGTTGCAGAACACAGTCCAAGTCTGAGCAGGACCCACCTGTGCTTGTCAGGGCCCATTTGTCTGAGTGGGATGCTGTCCCAGAAATGCTTCCCTTCAGGAAGAAGAACAATTTTTAGACACCAAAATAACAGGTTGGCTGGCACACAGCTCCTTACTTATTTCTCCCACTTTTTCTTTCAAAACTCCATCTGAGTGGAGACTTTCAGCATGCAGGACAGCATCAGCCACTCCTGCAGAGCTGCTCACAGGACACCAGCTAAGTGATGCTCAGAGGCCTCCTGGATGGATCATGCTGCTTCTAATGCCACAGCATTGTCACTGTGGGCCAAATCCTTTCACTCCTAGCACTGCTCCCTGCAGGGGAACTGTTCCCATCTCACCATTGCCCCCCTTCCCTTAGCAGCATGCACTGATGAGGCTTGGCTCCCAGCAGAAAACTCTTCCCTGCAGTGCTGATTTATTAATAGGTGAGGGGAACAGTTCTCACCCCTCTCTCCAGCTTACACACTAGATATCAATTTGGCAGCCAGCAGTAAATGCCATTAAGGCAGTGAGATACTTAAAGGCATCAGCAGCTCCTGGCCCATTACAAGAACAAGATGATGGACTATGGTAATGCACATCTGAAACTCGTCACATACGACTGGAAGCAAGGATCCTACTGAGACAAATATTAAGAGTCTGCAAAGGCAAGGGATGGGAATAAGCTTTTTCATTAAAGAACTTTCTCTGTATTCAAGGGACCAATGCAGGGGAAACAGCAACAAAAAAATCGCACTGCCGCTCGAGACCAACCACACCCAGCATGAGGTGTTGTGTCCATAGGTCCATCTGAGAGCAGAGCTTTTGCTTTCCTGCACTTAACCCAGAGGTTCAAATGAGGAGAATGGCACCAAGATGCTGCAAGAGCCCCAGGGCCCCAGCTCCTGGCATCACTGATTTCTGCTGCAGCACAGTGCCACTGAAGCTACAGCGCTCATCTCAACTGCTTCACTCCTCAGGCTTTCAGTCCATACACTAAATCCCCACAGTGGCACCACCAGGACACAAGAGCATTTGGCATTATGCCTGTCTTACATATCCATCCCTAGCAATATGCACCTGAGGAGGTGATGCAGTGATTCTCAGGTGGAGTAGACATCTCCTCCTGTCTCTACGAACACAAGCCACAGCATGATGCAGTATGTGATTGCCTCGGTTAGACCACCAGAGGGGCAGAGATGGTTACTTAGGGGTAGGGTGGCTCTCACATACTGCCTGCACCCCTGAGAGTTACCTGAAGGGAAGGTAAAACAGGCAAGCCTGAGTTAAGTGGTCTGGATAAAGCCCTCAGTGACTTGTGTTTCCTACACATGAGGGCAGAGCTGTTTTTTCTGACCATTTCTCCATGTTCTCTCTGCCACCTCAGAGAAGCTTCTTGCTCCACACACATAAAGAGCCAAGCTGAGTTTGTGGTGAGACAAGCTCATAGGTGCTTTTGAGAGACTTTCCAGATCTGTACCCAGAGTTTTGCATTTGCAGATGCACATGTCCAGACCCATCTGGATGCCACAGTTTACATGCACAAACCCCAGTGACCCTTTTTTCCCCTTCACCCCTTTGAAATCAAAGATGCTAATTGAGAAGGAGGCTCTGAATATCTGGAGAAGACAGTCCTACCCACTGCCCACTAGTACAACCCTGGATATAGAGAAGGGCCTGATTATCACCAGTGCTGACTGACAGCAATGCCTGGAGAGTTCAAGAAGGCAGGGAGGCATAGACAATTTCTGAAAACTATGCTGTCACTGCCTTCTCTCTTTTACAAGGTCAGATCTTTTTTTTTTTTTTTTTTTTTTTTGGTGATGGTATGGTCAGTGACACTGGCAAAAAGTCAAATTTAGGAGGCCCACACAAGGACACAGGCACTGTTGCTGGGTGACATTTGACAGGAAATCCTGTCTTGCATCCACAGTATTGCACAGAATCATGTCACATAGTTTTTAATGATTTTTGATGGATGATTTCCACTAGGGCTCACCAAAACTGGGCAAACTACCTCCAAACTCCAGACTATTCTGTAGGAGAAAGTAGTACGAGGAGCACGATGACAAAAGGAAGTTTTAGGGCTTTGTCTATTATTCTGCTTCTCTACATTAAGATGGCCTGCAGAAAGGAGACAAACCAATTCATTAACTGTAATTACTGTTTTATAAACTGATTTAAAAATATAATCTAACCATAGTAATCTAAACTGGAAAAAAATGTGATGATGCTTGGTTTCAGACTGCAACATCAATAAAGTTGTAAGGCACAGTCATTTGGAACAGCAACTCAGTCTGTAGTCACTAAAACAAATGTTTTGAATCTCACCCGAATACAAAGCAAATGTCCTTTTGAAAAAGCAAGAGATTATTCCCTTACTTCCCTGCCTTGTCTTTGCTGCATCATCACTTAAAATCATTCAGTTGTACTAAACTGGAAAGTCTACTTGGTCTAAAAAAGCTAGAGGTAGGATGGAGGTGAAAGGCACATGCAGGGCATGTTCTGACACCTGGTGACAGAGGTCAGCTCTGCTAAAGAAATTCTGGAATGCAATGTCTAAAGTGAGAGAAGTCCTTCCAGGTAACTATGGAGCAAACAAACACGCTAATACTGGGATGAGCCACTTGTTCAGCATTCCCTCCCATAGCAATGCATCTAACAAAAATCTATAATGCCTGTGAATGGGGCGAGCTCCTGTGGGGGCATAAGCTCTGAAACCAATCCAGCTCTCCTGGGCTCTTCTCCAGGCTGTGCACCCCTCCCTTAGAACCTGCCCCAGTCAGCACTTCTTCTCAAGACCTCGGTTCTGGCCCTCACATGTTAAACATCCATGACTGCAAAAGGCAGATGGCATGGCTGCTGCCTCATCACCTCCTCCAGCCCACTCCCAACCAGCAGGCTCCATGCTCTGCTTTGTTCAGTGTCCCTGCCTGACTCCCAGAGAAAGGCATAGTGTGGTTGAGAGGAAACACCACAGAATTTGTTCTGTTTTAGTGCATGAAAGTTGCAAAAATAACCACATTTTTCTGTAATAAGATGTTCATTAGCGCCTTGGTTGATCAGTGGTTGCTCTTTAAAGTATTTCTGGACCAGCTGTATCTTGAATTGAGGCAAATCATGTAATTTGTTTGAATTGCTCTACTTGCACAGCTCTGTGTTTATCTTGCAGAAGAAGCTGAAAGACAGCATTGATCCTTCATGCCTGTTCTGTGTACATGGCTCCAACATATGCTGAAAACTGGGTATTTTCTAGGGCTGAGGACTTCTGTCCTGAGATGTCCTTGTGACAGTAGTACTGTCTGGCAATGGCTCCAGCATGGCCCTGGCAGTCAGGGGCCAAGCAGCACATGTTGGCCCAAACCTCTCTGAGGCTTTTGTGGATGAGCAGACAGCTGGATGCTGGTGGTTGATCTCTCCAGAAGGGCCTTCATCCATGATGGGCCTGAGGAAAAGAGAGAAATGCTGTGGCGAGATTGCACTCTGGATCTGGGTATCTGCATTCTCCTCACCAGCTCTGAAAACTGATCCAAAAGCTGCCAGGCCTGGGAGAAGCTCAAGGAACACCACCTTCCCACATAAGGCATGTGTTCTCTGTCTACATTGACTCCATGATGACTGTGTTAACTGAAAATCAAGCTGTCATGTCACAAGTCCTCAGCTGTATTTCTTCAAAAAGCAACACGATGCTAATCTTACAGTAAGGAGGTACAAAAATAACGACGTTTTGGTGCATGTGACACTTTTCTAATGCCTACTTCATTTTCCAGAGCTCATTCTAACATGAATTCATGTCAGGGAAAAAAACCTAAGTGGGATGTCAGGAACTTGTCCTGGAGTTTATTCGAGGAGAGCCTTGAACAAGAGCTGTGCAACAGACACAGCATTGGCTCTGTGCAGGGAACATGAGAATGGATCAGTAAGAACACTGGGCTACTATTCAAGAAAATATAACATTTCTAACACTCAAGCTATAAGGAACATGAGAAAATATTTCATTTAGCATTAGATGGACAAAGGTAAATGTCAGCACAAATAAAAGGAATTCCCTTTACAGAACAGGGAGGACACCCCACAGACAATACAGAAATCTGCTTTTTCCTGCTCTGTAGTCCATTCTGTTTTCCCCAGACACATTGCAGGCATTGCTGCCAGCAGTGCACATACCTGATCCTTGTTGATCCAACAGCTGTTGGTCCTGGAATAGGCCTTTGTTGGCTGCTGCAGCCAGCAGGCTGGTGCTGCCCTTGGGATCCAGAAGCAGACAGCATCTTGTGCAGGCTCAGGAAAGCAAGTTCCTCACCCAGAGGCTGGGCTGAATTTTCTTGATGAGCCCTTGACTGGCATTGCTGTGTACACTGCCTGTCCTCCTCTTGGCTGGGTATTTTTAGGCACCTTACCCTGTGGTTTCTTGTTTTCCAGGGTCTTGCTGCAACACTCATTACAGATGCAGGTGAAGGGCTTTTTGGAGGGGATGGAATTAAACAAGGGCTTGGGTTGGAGAACACTGCACCCTCCTGAGTCTGTGACGAACCTGAAATACAGTGAAAAGTGCAGTGACTTACCAGTTCATCTTACTCCTACATGACTAACCCGGTGAGTGGTTTTGGAGATGCTGTGTGACAGAGCTGTCCTGGGGCACACAGTGAGGCTGGCCTTGTTGAATTGCTTCCTCTGATAGTCAGGCATTTGGGTTCCTTGGCAGCCTCCCTGCCAGTACTGCTGGAGATGTGCCAAGCACCACAACTGCTCACGAGCCACGTAGAGCTCAAGAGGGACAGACCAGCTCACCCACCCATCTGTTCTCAGGCAGGATCACACCTGCATCATTCCTGGCCAGTGTTTGCACTGACTTGTTTCAAATACCTGAGGAATCCTTCCAGCAATCTGAAGTGCAAGGCACAGAAATAATCACACATGAGTAGATCTACTTTTTTTTTTATTTGGCGCAGAGATCATAGAACCTCATAATTTTGAGATTAGCTTTAAAATTACAGAAAGTGCCTGACTGCCAGGGAATATATTGCACTACATGCAGGGCTACTATTTGGATGTTTGTATTTCAGCCCATATAATCCTCAGGTGCAGCATACAGAGAAGAAAAAACTTGTTGCTGACTTATAAATATAACAAGCATGTATATATGCTTAAAACCATTCTTTACATAGCAGGGATCTGATTGCTCTTGTCTATTGAAAGAACCAGCCATTCTATATATAGCAGGGATCCAATTGCTCTTGTCTATTAAAAGAACCAACTATACCTAAGTGCCTAATGTGCGGGGTCCAGGGCAGGAACATAATCTAAAGAATGTGCCCAGAAAGTTCAGCTTGATGAAAGGATTGATGGAGATGTATTTTAATAGCTAGGGTAACCACAAAAGGCTGGTACAAAATTTTCACTGAACCGTTTGCATCATACTATATGCTTTTAAAATGTCTAAACTTCATAGGGTTTTTTAATTTGTTTTTAAGTGTAGACACACTGAGAGACTGGTATGTCTGACTCAAGAGCCCAAAATAACATTCAGTGCCTTCCAAAGAGTGCAGTTTATACAGATCTGATGCTGCAAACACACTATGCAAGGGTGGCTTTACTCAGATGACTTGTCCTTTTCTGGTCAGAAGGATTGCTTCCAGCAACAAGTTCTTCTGTGAGAAACTCACATTGGGTAGGACACTTGTGCTTTTGATTTGGGATCTGGGTCATTCCCCCCCTGCCACCTTAGATAGCAACAGATTTCAAATCACTCCACCATCTCCCAGCAGATTTGGTTACAAGATTGTCAGATCTATGCCCAACCATTCACTTTCTTAATGCTATAGGGCATGATGCTGATACACTGTGAGATGTTTGTGACATTGCCTTCTCAGTCTACAAAGATGATGAGACCATGACACTCAATCTAAAGAAATAACATAAAATCTAAAAAGATAACATTAAATCTAAAGAGACTGTGAGATCATAATCTTAAGACTTCTGTGGTCACTGGACAATAGGCCATTCCTTTAGATTTTTCCAAACAACTTCCATTGTTGTTAAGGAGATATTGTTTAAATCCCTGTTAATATACACAGAGGCTTTGAATAGTTTAATGATATTTCTGGTTTTTTCCCCAAATATATTGCATTTTTCCAAATTCTAATAGATCCATTTTTGCCCTTGAAAGAAATGTAAAACAAAAATTCACATGCTTTTATTTATTGAGAAAAAAGAGTTACTACTAACAATAGAAAAAGATTTAGGTTGCAATTTTGTGAGGTCCTCTATCTGATATGTATTTGGAATAACCATTACTAATGTTTCTGATATTCTTAAAGGCAATATTCAGCAAGTGTTCATTCACGTAAATGCAATTTCAGAGAAGCCTTTGGCTTTGTTCCTGAGTAGAAGAGCATGTTCTATTTTTAAACTCCTGAGACCAAGGGAAGACCTCATCACAGTCTACAACTTCCTTGCAAAGGGAAGAGGAAGGGTAGGCACTGATCTCTTCTCTGTGGTGACAAGCAACAGGACCAGAAGGAATGGCCTGAAATTGTGTCAGTAGAGGTTCAGGTTGGATATTAGAAAAAGGTTCTTCACCCAGAGGGTGGTTGGGCACTGGAACAGGCTCCCCAGGGAAGTGGTCACAGCACCAAGCCTGACACAGTTCAAAAAGTGTTTGGACAATACTCTCTTGGGAATGGTCCTGTGCAGGGCCAGGACTTGGATTCGATGATCCTTGTGGGTGCCTTCCAACTCGGCATATTCTGTGATCCCTTTAGTTGCATATCTTTCCAGAACTCCCAATTGCCCAGTTAAACTTTAATCATTAGCTCAGTCGTTATTTACGTCAATGCCAACTGGGTTCAAATACAGCTCAGTTGGAATGATAGTGTTTTAGACTCACCCAAGCACTGTCATAAATTAATGACACAAAGTAAGACAGAGACATGTCCTTCCTCTATACTTGATGCTAAGTTAGTGTAAGATCACCTTTGATCCTCCTAATTCTATAGATCTATGCTGAAATATATCATCTGATGGTCAACACAGCTGGCCACCATGTCCTGCTTAAAAACTGGAATGAATTATTTACAGTCTGGCTCTGCAACGGTATTTCCAAATTGCTGCTCTAGAGCACAGAGGCCACATCTCATAAAACACTGCAGTTACCAATACACATATCTACAAACAGTAGCCTGTGTTACTACCCTGATTTACTACCCTGTGTTACTAACCCTTCCCCTGAGGTTTAGTACCTGAGGAAGACTTGGAGAGACTGGAGTGACAAGAAGAATCAAGTGAAATCCTTTCAGCGAGGTCCTTGTCATATGCCTTCCTCAACTCATCTTCAGCGCTGTCAGTCAGGCTGCAGTCTTCACCCTCTTCCTCATGACTAAGAATTACCTTTGATGCTTGGCTGGCTTGTTCTTGCTGACCTGTTTGCAGGCACCTGGACAACATCAAGTATCTCATTTTAGTTAGCCCTTTGATTGTGTTTATGCAGCCAGTCAAGTGCAGCTTGGCATGGCCACTCAGGCAAACACCTAGGCAATAGATTTACTTATCCACTCTTACTTCACACTTTTCAGGAGATAGGAAAAATAATTCTAATTGAATCAGTCATCTAAGATGCCTGTGTCTGATTATCTGAAAGTGTCCTAAACTTAATCAGGTGAAGTGGGGCAGATTTAAAATACTTCCTAGTGAAGTAAGCTCAGAGAAATAAAACCATTTTTACTTCCAAAATAACCATTGCCTGTCTGTGAGATGGGGGAATCTCAGCATGATGCTATTTGTCTTTCAGCATTTCGTTTGGTGAGGCCAATGTGCTGCATTAAGAAAACCTTATCAGCTTTCAGCTCTTTTACTGTCTGAAGGTAGACACTGTCAGGGCCAAGAATGGCTTACCCGTAATGAAAAGTCATTTCCTTGCTCTCGCTAAGGAAGCGAGCCCACCCTGCCTATGCTGGACTTCAGCTGCTCTAGAGAGAGATCAGAGGGTTTTTCTTCCTTGACCAGATGCTCCAGGTGGGAGGACAGTTGGAAGGATTGCCAGCCTGTCCCAAAGCAGGGACAGGAAGGCAGGAGGCCAAGACTATCCCTCGAAACCGCCACCAGGTGGCCAAAGCGCTTATTTTATTTTTGCAGGAGAAAATGAATGCCGACTTCATCGCACGGCAGGAACTCTCGCACGGTCTCACCTCTTCTGCTGCTCTCTCCATACTCTCAGTTCAGAGGACACATTTTCCTGGTGCACATCTTTTCCTCCTCCAGAGCCATAAAGGTTTTCTGTCCTCAGACCGCTCAGTTTCAAAGGGCTCGCTGCAGGTGGCTGTGAAAACAACAGAAATTATCTTGATAACCTTGGGAACTCCCCCCAGCTCTGCTTCTAGATGTGGATTTTAGAAGGCATCAAAGTTCAGTTACCTCTGAGTTTTTAGATAATCCCTCACCATTTTCTTACTCTTCAATTTTAAAAAGTCCCACACTCCTGTCATGTGCTGTTACAGCCTGAGGAACCCATTGTGGCAAAATTGTTGATTGTTGATTGTTGATTTACATTTCACTGGCATATAAGCCTGTAGCATCTATGCTAATAAACATATTAAGACCAGCACCACAGAAACTGCATAATTCAGTATATGACCACGGTCCTATTCCACATCCCAGTTTATAACACTCAGTAATTCACTCAAATGTTCAAATTTGTTTCAGAAAACCTTCCAGCGCTCAGGCAGTAGCAGCAGAAAGACAAGGGTGGGACATATTTTTTCCCGCAGTTCTTTAACAGCTGTTGTCAGCACTAAGTCAGGCTGCTGACAGTGCAGTGATGCAGGTGTCCTGTGCACGCTGTCTCCCTGATTTAGCACAGTCTGTTTAAACATACACTTGTGAGCCTCAGGGCCCACAAACTGTGACAAGCTGGGCTGCACCCCTTTACACACATGGGTGTCCTCTCACTAAGTTATGCTGAAATGAGCAGGATGACCCGCAGGGCTGGGCTACCACCCCACTGCCAAGAGGCACAAACTTTGGCTTTGTGTTTGTTTAGTCGATGGGAACGACCTTGCAGAATTAGCAATCTGACAATTTACACCGACATCAAAGAAACACTAAAGTCTTTTGCTTAATAGCTGTTGTAGAAATACCATCAAATTTTTTTGCAATCCTGCCTTGCACTTTGCTTACTGCAGAATGATAAAAAATCTGCCACCAGCAGCTGGTATGTGATTTTCACGTGTTCCTTTTCAGGGGATGGTTAACTGCTGGTAGCACATGGGCACGTGCAACATCATGGCAAGAGACCCTCTGTCCTCCTCAAGGGCAATTGTACATTGTGGGGCTTTGGGGCAACAGAAGAGAGTGAACTGACACAAGCCACAGTGGAAGTTCAGTTTATCCCAGGATTTGTGGGGGTCACCAGGCAGGAATATGAAGTATACAAGAGAAACATACACCTAGCTTTTGCCTCCTTTCACGAAGGGCCTTGGCGGGGTTCCCACATATAACTTGACTGAGTCCTAGGAAAGAGAGGAAAAAAGAAAGCATTTTACTCCAGGGATTAACAAACGATGCTGTCTTTGAAATCAGTCAACATTTTCCAAATGTGCACTCAGCTGATTGACTGCATTGCTTCATCTAACTCATCATCCTGAGTCCTACCTATAGCAAGAACTGAGGAGGGACTGGCATCTGAGAGAAGCAGCCCACCACGCCTGGAAAAAAATAACATCTTCCTATATAATCTGCACTCTATGGGCTGGTGGAGTTGCACCATCAAGTTGCTTCCAGAAGCCAGGGAAGGATGTCTTGGGAAGGAAGGATGTCTTGGGAAGTGCCAAATATTGTACCATAAGTGAACTTCCTCTCTAACCAGCTGTTCCCAGGAGCTTCTGACTTGGTAGTATTTCCAGGTAACCAGGGCAGGAAGAGCAGTGGAACCCCTATGGTTTGGGCTAGCCTGTAGATCAGGTATGTGAAGTCAAGGAACTGACTCCTCTTGCTAAGGGATCAACCACAGTAAACCCAAAAGAAAGTGCTCAATGACCACAGCGATGCTGCTGCAGTGTGAGTGCAGAACACATAGCCTGAGCACATGATCCAATGGGGAGTGAAGGAGCATCACCACACCTTTATACAGGACTACCTTGGACCACATTCCAGGTACAGGATGTGCCCAGGTGTTAGTCCAGTGAGCCCCAGCTAGACTGACGTATAATTTAAAGGGCTGAGCAGGACAGCTTTGATGAGGTGTGAAAGGCAATGTCAGCAAAAGAGCACCACTGCAGTATGGGGCTCTCAGAAGGGACAGCAGCACATGATGCATGGGGGTGAGGGGCTGAAGAGTGGGCAACTTGCACTTTCTGCAGCAGCAGGAAATAAAGGAAAGCCTACACTAGAGCAGGTGAGTCTCATGGAAGAAAACATATGCTGAACCTGATCTAGCAGTGGCATGGGTGGGTGGTATTCAAAGCACCCAGGCTTTCATCAGTATTAATAACATTCAGAAGGAGGTGGAGGTGTGGGAAAGAACAGGATTAAAAAGCGTATTACCATGTGTCAAATCACTGGAATCATCTTCTGAGAACATCATATCAGAAACAGCAGGATCTGGAAGAGGACGGCTACCATACAAGAGCTGGGCATCACTAAGTCTCCCTACATTAGCAGACCACTGTACTTTTCCAAGTCTGGAAGTTGTTGGGGGTCTTGGGCCACATCCAGACTGCCTTGCTACTGCTCCAAGATATGGATCTAAAAGAAAGATTTCACTAGTGAAAGCATAGCTGTACAAGGCTTCAAACCACACCATCACCGTACACAGCCAATACAATTGGCTGCTGCACATTTGGAGCTATAGGGCACAGAAAAATATGTAATTGCAGCTACAAGAAACATGCTGGAATGGGCCAAGCCTAGAGAAAGAGGGCTTCCTGTGCTGCACACAATCCCTTCTAACTGTTATTTGCAGATGGCAGAACGTGGGATGCCCAGTCAAACTAATATCCCTTCTTACTCTTCTTCTGCTCCTGGGAGCCAGAGACAGACTACTGGGATCAGGAACTGCTCTGTGCTCACCATCCACCTCTGTTCACCTGTCCCACAGGTGAACCTGGATGCATCCAGGTCTCTGCTACTTCCCCTGCCTGCATGCCCAGGATAAGTGGAAGCTGCCTCTCATTTCCTGCTCACTTGCCCATGGGGGAACCATTGCAGACTTGCCACAGGCACAGCCTAAACTCTCAGTCTTAAAATATGTTGCTTCAATGCCCTGGCACAATGCAGATGGTCATGGCCACCCTACCAGAGCAACTACACAATCAGGGCAAACTGTGTACCAGCAGTTACAGAAATCTGGGAATGGCAGTGATGGGTTTTTCCAGTCTTGCCTCAGAGACAGATACTTCTCTACCACAGAAAGAAAGGTGAAAATTGCATTTTTGTGATGCTACAGGACACTGTAAATTACACAAAAGCTACCAAAGCCACTCATAGCCTTGTCCTCTTACCTGCCCAAACGCTGGCTGTCCTGGGAGAACAGCACAGCTATAAGAGCAGCATATGCAGCCAATAACCCATAGAAGAGTGGATTTCATTTCAGTGCCTAGATGAATAACGCCTTTATAAAGTGTTGAGCATCTACCAACTCCACAGCGAGCCATCAGCTCTGTAATAATCTGGCCATTTCCTTAAGAGCTGAGTGTCTTTAATGTATCTCAGCCATAGCTGTTAAAACAAACTCATGAAACACACAGCATGAGAAAAGTACCAAAGTCAATGTTGGTAAAGGAAAGAAAAAAAATATGGGGATGTCTGAACCTGACCATATGAGCTCATCATTCAGAGCTGACAGCAAGAATATAAGTCTGGTTACACAAGGAAATGACATGAAATCACAATTTTGTGCTCTGTCTCTACTGCTTCTGTCAGCAAACTTTGTTAACTAGTTTTCTGAACCACAGGTGATGTTGCCAAAGCAGGATCATTGGGGGATCAGATTTTAATGGATTTTTTCCCCACCATAACTACTATTACAACTAATGATTTGGACCCATAGGGATTAAATAAATGACAAATGTATGTACTTACTCCAAAACAGATTAAATTTTTAATGGACTACAATTGGCAGACAAACCACAGTAGAGGGGTTGGGGGCTGGGAAGACAACTGCATTGCCCACACTAATGGGAAAGCAACAGGAGCAGTTATAGGAAATACTTTGCAATATTTAATGGTATGTGGTAAAGTGCACGTAGCATGACACATAAAAGCATGAACATCTGAACTACTACCAAGGCTGTAGGTAAGGGGATCACAGATTTACTTTCAAATCATTTACTCTCTAATAATGAGCGTAACGGACTTAATCACAGTGGAAGAGAAAATAGAACAGATCTCTTACGAGACCATGCAATCCTGATGGGGTGTTGTTACTGCTGAGGGGTGATGACAAATTCCCTTTCCTATTATTAAACTGGAATAGGAAATACTACTACATACATGCTATATGGGATCAACGGTTCCCATGGAAAGGGATATGAACAGCTGTTATTGAAACATTCCTTTCCAAGCTTTGCTTCTTCCCACCATGCAGAATGAAGCCTAAGTACAGACTCCCAGCTACTGCTGGATTTGCTTGATGATCTGTAAGTTTTCTGCATTTTCCTGACTTTGATACCCAGTTTAGGACAACATTCATTTAAATCTGCCCTGTTATCTGCTGAATTAAAGCTTTTTTACTTCCCAAGTGAAGAAGACAACATCCTTTGTCCCTTCACTATAATTAAATGTTGGCTTTGAAGAGGCCAGCTTGCTCTTCATCTTTCTTTCTTCATACCACATAACCTGAAAAATGAACCCCAGTAGGGAACCTGTCATACCTAACCATGAAATGTCTCCAGCTAAACCACCTTCCTTGATGGATTCCTTGATGATTAGACAATCTTCATACATCTTCTTGGAAGGAAGGGGAACAGTCTGGTTTGCTGGTATTTTGTCCAAATACTTCAAGTGGGGAATAAGTTTTTTTACTTCCACTCTGTAATTATAACCTGGTTCCTGAAGAAATTAAGAAAGTGGTCAGTTTAACAGCCTGTGGACTTCCACCAGCAGCACAGCACTCTTCAATTTGTATGACTGCCATATAACTTTAAAGGCTTCCTACGAAGCACATCTATTCACCTCATTTGACAGATACAAATACAGTCAGGAGTTTCATTTCACTGTGCTTTCCCCTCACATAATTTCAACTCGAATTGATCATGAACATGTCCTGAGCAGTGCAAAGACACGACCTTCACCCAAAGGTTCATTTGCTATTTACCCACTGATGACTTTGGCATTTGTCTTTGTTATATCATGTATAATTTGCAATAGTATAGAAGGCCACTGATGCCCATGGAAAGCCTGGGCACCCTCAGCATTCAGCCAGTCTCCCTGCTTTTGTGATTCTCTGGTTGTTGCATCAATACTCAGGTGATAGGAAGACTTGAAAACGTATTATGAGTGTTGCCACACCAGCTGATGGGAAAAGAAAGAGTATTTCCATGGATTGTGTTTTTAGGCACACCCATAAATCATCTCCAGTGAATGAACCACACTGATTTTCTGGGGCAGTCTTCGGGGGTTTCGTGACCGATTTTACACACTGCTAGAAGTAAAGGCTTACTTCAAACTATCTTTTCTTCTGCAAGAGGTAGCATGCCAACATCAGGTGCACAGAAGACTAAAAGAGGCTGCACTTGGGTTTCTTTTCTGTGCTGGAAAAACAATACGATTGTTCCCAATGCACAGACTCAGTGTGACAGCCATGGGGAAGGCACTGGTGCGGCCCCTCTCTGCATGCGTGGGTGGAGGTGACATGTCATAAAATGATTCAGGAGCACAAGTCAGAGCTGGGGGACCTCTGAGCAGCAAGGCCAATCCAGAATAATTACATCTGTGCTCAGAGCACGGTTCAAATTGGGCTGTTTTGGTGGATTCCAGCAGTAGAAAGAAACCTTCTTGTGGCACCTTCACCTTTGGGAAAACTTAGCAATACCTCAGGGCTAACTGGGCTGTGCTGGCTTGCAGCGGGAATATGTTTGGTTAAAGCAGTCTTGGATTACAAAAGGCAGCCAACAGTGTTGTAATCTCTTCTAGTAAAAAAACTATAAAGCCAGAGTGAACTACTAGTAGCAGAATAAAAATTGACAGGTACCTACAGATCAACTGCTGAACCCAGGTAAATGTTACACTTTTTGGGACATTGCATGCCATACTAGAAAACCTCACAAAGTCCTCATTCAATACAGTTGCCACAAACAAGTCTTTCTGTGGGACCTGACAGGCTGGATTCTCCCTCCCTTTGTACGGTGCAGCACTGATGATGGCAGAGGGAACGCACCAAATAAAACGTGTTTGCTGTTGTTAAGAGGCAGATACTAATTTTCTCTAAGCAAGCCTTTAATCTTAATTTAGAAAATGAGTCAACCAGTCATGAATAAAGCCACTTTCCAGCCATGTCCTGTTGGAGAGAAGAATCATGTTACATTCATGTTACATTACTGTAGCAGAGGCTGCAGAATTTATCATCAGGTTGTTGCTCTTGGTTTAGATAACAGGGGAAGATGAGCTCATCTGAAAATCAAATTATAGGGAGCAAACAGGCCATCTGAAGAAAGAACAGTAAATTTAGTTGGACCATTCTGCAGATTAAAAGTAAATAAATAGGAGAGCTTTTACAGAGCTGTAGCAAGGGCCAGACTACAAGAAGGAGCTTGAAAAATTAGAGCTAGCCATCTAGGGCACACCAAAGTAAGCCCACATCTATTCTTTTCTATATTTCAAGTGGCTTTTCTATGCCCTGAAGAAATGCAAACATCAGTTGAAACCACAAAAGCAACACAGTCAATGAAGAAACTCTCTCGGCCAAGGGCCGGACCCACTTTGTAACCACCTGAGGGCAAAGCAGCTTTCCAATACAGACACTGGGTGGGAGACTAGAGTGAACTTCTGTTACAGCTCAGTGTAAAACACACAGTTGTGCAGACTCCCTCAACAAATTCTGCCTGGCATTTGAATGCAACTACTTGCACAGGAGTAGAGACAGACATTCTGCGTGAAGAAGAGCAGTAGGGCACACCACCACATAGCACTCCTCTTCGCACTCCCGTTATGTGACAACATGAAGCAGCATCCCAAGGACTGATTTCCTCCCCTGAACCAGCCACAGGAAATCTGACATTTTTTTCCATTACAAGTACATTTAAGGACAGAAGATGCCAAATGAAAACTACATCCTCCAAAATCACTATTTGCATTGGGCAGGAATGACGACGGAGTAGAAAAGACTTTCTGTGCCATGAGGACACGCTGCACCATTTCCATGGTAGGAAGCTACAATAAGGAAGAGTCAGAAGTTGTATTTATCTTCATGAGAGTAAAAAGAATGACTAGGCATGCTTTGTCCATCGCAAGCAGGCAGTTCTGCCTTACATGGGAACATGTTTTTTTCCTCACATGATTGCATCTTCCATAACGGAGGAATGTTGATGGAGTAATTATTCTGGTTACAAGTAGTTACAAGTGTGGTCTCTTAAGTATACTTCCACCATTTCAAAACAGAAAGGCAAGTATATAATATTTTCTCTTGAATTCCAGAGAGGAAAATTATGATAGCTAAACATGGCCCCTTTTACTGAGTGATATGATCAAGCCAACAATTACATCTGAAAAATGCTATTAATTCATGCATCTACAAAGTGCCAAGATTTAAAAAATACACATCTACCACATGATTGAGTTTTACTGTCAACACCTGTTTTCAAGTCTAAGTCCAGGACAGACACCAAACCCTACCTTTTAGGCAAATATGCAGCATGGGCATGATTACTTTGAAATGCACAGTGAAGCTATGGAAAATGGCACAGGGGATCACAGTGTCAGCTCATGCTCTGATTTTTGAACCCTGCATTATCACCTCTTTATGGTGCCATTGGGAATTGCACCATCCTTAGTGAGTGCTGGGTATTACATAGCTCTCTGTGTGCACAGGCCTCTGACCTTCCAAAAAACCTGTATGCCAGTATGTTGGTGCGCTGGCCATAAGCAGTCAATGATGTGCATTAGAAATTATGTGACCAAAATGAAGAACAGTCTTTTGCGACCAATCAGATCATGTATTACTGTGTTCTCATCTTTGTGACACAGAGGATCTCATGACCTCAACAAAATACCTCAGCAGAAATTATTTTATCATTTCAGTACATAAGAGGTGAACCACTGTATTTTGTATCCTCAGCTTTTTATGAAGGTCTTTTTGATCATTTGATTTTAACATTTCAGGGGAAAGGGCAACAAGCAGTTCCTACAGTACAGTTACCTCAAGCATTGTTTTCTGAGGGTTCAACTTTTGAGCATGGTAGTATTGAAGCACTTGCTTTTGGACTGGAGAGCCTCCAAAAGAAATGCAAAAGCCTTAAAAAATAAATATCTAATTACAGAATCGCAGAATCACAGAATGGTTGGGGACAGAAGAGAGTTCTGGAGATCTTCTAGTCCAAACCCTCTGCTAAAGCAGGTCCACCTAGAGCAGGTTTTACAGAATCATGTCCAGGTGGGTTTTGAGTATCTCCAGGGAAGGAGACTCTACAGCCTCCCTGGGCAGCCTGTTCCAGTGCTCTATCACATTCCAAATAAATAAGTTTTTCCTCATATTCAGCTGGAATTCCCTGTGTTTCAGTTTGTGTCTGTTGCCCCTTATCCTGACACTGGGCACAAGTGAAAAGAGTCTGGCTCCATCTTCTTAACACCTGCTCTTGAGATATTTGAATGCAATGACAAGATTCCCTCTCAGTCTCCTCCAGGCTAAACAGTCCCAGCTCTCTCAGTCTTTCCTCATAACCAAAGGGCTCCAGTTCCCTAATCATCTCCCTGGACCTCCATTGGACCCCCTCTGGTAGTGTCTTGTCTCTCTTGGAGTTGGGAAGTCCAGAACTGGACAAAGCACCCCAGGTGAGGTCTCACCAGTGCTGAGTAGAGGGGCAGGATCACCTCCCTTGACCTGCTGGTAATGCTCTTCCTAATGCATCTGACGATACCATTGGCCTTCTTGGCCACGAGGACACACTGCTGGCTCATGGACAGCTTGTTGTTCAACAGAACCCCCAGGTCTTCCTAATCTTCCTTTTGCTACCCATGCAATTGTACAAGCCCTTCTTGTTGTCCTTGACAACCTTTGCCAGATTTAATTACAAGTGGGACTTAGCCTTCTTCATCACATCTCTGTATACTATATTCCTATGTAGTTGATATGCTATCTTCATATAGTCCTTACAAATGGCCTGTATTTTCCACATTCCATAAACTTCCTTTTTCCTTTTGAGTTTTACCAGATGCTCCATGCTCATCCATTCAGGCCTCCTGCCTTTGCTTGATCCACCAATCTTGAGCTTAGAGAAAGTGAAGCTTGATTATTAACCAGCTCTCTTGGACCCCTCTATTTTCTAGATCCTTAACCCATGGGGTTCCTCCAAGTAGCTCCTTGAGGAGGGCAAAGTTAGCTCTTCTGAAGACAAGGGTTGTAATCCTACTCATTGCTCAGCTTTCTCCACATAGGATCTTGTATTCAATCATCTCATGGTCACTTCAGCCAAGGGAGTCCCCAGCATTTGTATTCCCAAACCAGCCTTTCCTTGTTTATCAGTACAAGGTCCAGTGGCACACTGCTCCTTGCAGGCTTCTCCACTGCCTGTGTCCAAAAGCTGTCATCAGTGCTCTGCAGGAACCTCCTGGACTGTGTGTGCCCAACTGTATTGTCTTTCTAGCAAAGATTAGGATGAATTGAAACCTTGTGATTGGCACATCTTGTCAGAAAAATGTTGACTACTTTCTAACCTGCTGTAAGATCCCTACAGTCCAGAAGGATCCACACAGCTGGGGTCCATGCTTTCCTTGGTCTTCCTTTCAGATGCCTGTTTGCACTGCAAGCAGTGAGATGACTCAACAGATGTGAATAGCTTATTCCTAGTTTAGTCTTGTTTTCACAGGTAAGAAGGAACACATTGCTAGGAAAGAGGCCCGAGTCTGCATTTCATGTGTGGACATCTTGGACACCACACCCATGAGACCACAAAATCAATTAAATGAAAGGTGAGAAGTGCCTGCCATGCCATTACTTAGAATGATACAATAAAAATATGCAGAAACATTCCTTATTTCCAACTCAAAGTTAAAAAGCACTGACAAAAAATTAACATTATATGTGCAAACCAAGTCCTCACCTCTGCAGACTCAGCGTTTGGCTTCAGGCAAATAGGGTTGCCCTCCACTGTCAGGTGGCTTAGCTTGCAACAAAGTCTCAGGTACTGCATCTGGTCGATATCCTCAATATTGTTCCCTTCCAGGTCCAAAACCTCGAGGTGATCCAGCCAGGTCAGCTGGCTCAGCTCAGAGATTTTGTTATATGCTATGTAGAGTTCCTCAGCAGAAGTAAACAGAATAAATATGTAAACCACAGGCTTGCACAAGTAACACTCAAGCTTTGCAAAATGTTTTCTAATACTTGAAATACTAATATTTACAGGATGAAATTAGCAAGGAAGTGAACATTTTTCAAGTGTGGCTGTTGCTGCCCTAAACAGCTGGGTCTAATATGGCAACAAACACTATGTGGTTTTATGTGTATTCAGGATCAGACCTGACTGTTACAGCTCATTTTAAAAAAGTTATATTGTAGCATCTTTTAAACATGCAATTCAAGGCATCACACCAAAGCCATTTAGGAAAACAAAGGGTGAGAACAAACACTGCAACTGATGATAGTTCTGAGATTGTCATTTGGCAGGACACATGTATACTTACTTTTAGAGAGCTGCAGGAAGAGATCCCATCTAAATCTGAGAGCCCACAGCAAGCCATCCACAGGACACAGAGATGGGACAATGAGGTTCCAAGATCCCTGATTAAAAAAAAAAACAAAAAACCAAGCTCTATTTGAATGGATGAAGAAAGTCAAGGCTCATTTTCTTTTTACTAAGACTAGGCCACTGCTACAACCTTCAAATCTCACACTGTTTACAAGAAATGTCATTAAAAATGTTCACCTTCAAGAGTAGGGAATAAAATTATATCCCTATACTTCTCTCTCACTTAGACATCTTTGTTTTTGTAGGACAACATGTCACCCTAGTTCAGTTTGATTAAGATTATTCCAAGCGCTATGTTATGGTAATTCTGCCATAAATCACTGGCAGTTGCTAAGGATTAAGTGAGGTTTTCTTATGCTGACATCATTTGATCAACACACAGAACACATACGAACATATCAAGCTGACTGCAGAGTCATCTCACTCTGTCCTCTCATGGATTCTTTCTTCCGATTTTGCAATTGAAAGGAATAGCATTCTTGCCAAACAACATTTTTTGAATTAGCAGAAAATTATAATCCTTTCCATCCTATTTTCTCACTCCTCAGATGCACCAAAATATACATAAGGCGTCATTAACATGAATTCTAAATTCTCTAGCCTTAACCCAGAAAACCACCCACTGACCTGCTTAACTCCATGCATATGTAACATCCCACTACATTGCAAGGGTGCACAATACATAGATAATGCAAAAAGGGTGGCAAATCAAATTGGGGCCTTAATCACCTTCCACGTTTAGTACCATTAAGCTACATAAAGCCCCTACTCTAACATAAACAAAATACAACACTTTATCAAATCTCAAACCAACTAAAAGCCCAGAATTCTCTACTGTAGTCATGATATCAGATTATCTGAACTAAATAGCAGGGAACAAAATATGAGGATAGTTTATCAGAGGAAGTAGAAACTAGCATGGAGTTCACGGGACCACACAGCAATGGCTGAGGTTGGAAGGGACCCTGGGAGGTCATCTTCTCCAACATCCATGCTCAGGGGGGTCTAGTTGCTTAGCTCCACATCCAAACAGTTAAATAGTTCTTAGATGAACTTCAAGATTGTGGACTAACTATATTTTATAATATCCATTCTTATAACATCCATTATAATAAATTTTCTAGGGAAAATTTAAGAAGACAAAAGTCATGAGGTCTTTTCTGATCTTGGAATAAAGGTAACAGTTTCTGTATTCATGTCTTCTCTTTATGCATGACAGGGAACACGAGCAGCTTTGCATTGCCCTCTGAGAACATCACACAGCTTTGATGCAGTTCTGCAGCAAAAAACCTGTACCATGCACCCAGCCAGTCCAAGAGATCAGGAAGGAATGCTTTAACCAGTAGAGATAAATATATAGTTGTCTGTGGCTTTTGTTGTTTCTTCACCACCTGAGTATAAGGCTGAATGGAGGCTAGATACATGGAAAAATATCCCCAGATGCCTCTGTCCTGTGATGTGCCAAAACTGGGGATTTTCATCACTCTGTCTTCTAGGGACTGGTATGGCCATGGATCAGACCTGTCTCACTTCGTCCATCTTTTATCTTTTATCAGGGGCTGCAGGCATTGGGTGCCTCTAATTACCCCTTCCCTGAATGCTGCCAATTTAAGTAATCTCACAATGGATACACCATGCAATGTGTTTATGCAACATTTTATAACTTTTGAAGTACAAACAGTGCAGCTGAATTAATGGCCAGAACAAAGCAAAAAAGAAAAAATATCAGTCACATGATACATCTCTTTCTGTCTGAGGCTACCACTCCTTACAGGAAAAAATTCCCAACTGACATAAACCACAATTTCTCCACCGAATTTCGTGCATCCAGGCAGCTTGCCTATACTGATGCAAGGATGAAGAAAGTGCTCCCCCCAGCCCACCCCGAGTAACTCCTTTCATGTATAAATGATATGATTCCTTCTGCAAACTTTACCTTGTCCCTTAGCTATATGGGCAACAGGGAACCCTTGCCATGGTGTCACTGTTCCTGTGACCAGATAAACCCCTAAAAAGATTTCTTTCCAAGTCCTAATTCAGATTTGCCTGACCCGAAGGATCGTATGTCATCACATCCCTGGCCTTGCACAAGATCTTCCAGGGACTATTTACATTGTGTATATTTTATAAATAAAACAAAAAAAGGTTCTAAGGGTTCCTTAAGGAACAGATGCCTCCCAAAGTAATATTTACAGAAAATTTATTATTAGATTTGCAAGCTGCATGCCTATAATGAGGAAGAAATTAAATTACACAAACAGAACCTACCATCAAGCAAGGACAACACATCCATAAACACAAATATGGCATTAGTAATAATGTGAAGGGATTACACTGCTCATTTCATGACCCACTTCAAGCACTGATGAGATTTTCAAATTTCGGGCTAATTTTGGTGCAAAATTTTCTTTTCTGTAAACCACTGAAGCTACATAAAAGGAGGTAGTCACTCTCATTTTTGTGTTGTTGAAACAATGCTTTTGATAGATGCTCTGTTTATTAGGCCAGCAAAACTGAAGACAATCTGAACCTGATTACTTTACATGTGGTATGGTAAGATACGGTTAGTGGATTTTATTTTCATGTTTTCTTTGCCCTGAATTTTCTAACTGAAGGGGTTTTTTCCATAGAAGGAGGTTACAGTAATATGCTTGTTCCTAATGTTTCTGTCAATAAAAAGAATGCCAAAGCAGAGTAAAGGATTAATTCCCACTCAATTTTTACACAAGGCCCCAGAGAACAAACAGTTATCCCCCTCTAGTCCTAAAACCTTGATCACTTCATGCATCTGTAGGAGTCCCCTGCTCTGACTCAGAGGTCAAAGACTTCCAGAATTAAATCATATTTCCCTCTGTGTGTTACGGTTTTCAGTTTCAGTGTCAACTATGGCTAAACCACAGTGGTCACAAATGGGGCCAGTCCCTACTCCCACTCTCTGCTACATCACAAAGAGCACAAATTAACTACGAATTATTAGCTAATAAGTCTTTAAGCATTCTCCTGCTGTGGACACCATCAGAAGAAGACACTAACTGGTATGACTCTGAAAACCTACTCACCTTACTCTTCACAATTTATGCTGCCAAGTGTTTAGTCTCAAATCCATTCCAGTTTTGTTCATGGCTTGCAGCTCTGACTCTCCTACAGCTAACTGGTGCAAGTCAGGAGTAGCATACTTAAGCCTGATACTAATCAAAGTTTAGTATCAAAGATTAGTATCTGTGTTCCAGACAAAGGAATTAGGTTGTATATCCCATATCCTGGGTACTTGCAACAGGCAGAACTGTTGCATGTTTGCAACACAACCCAGTGTTTGAAAGCAGGGTCTTTGTAATTAAAAAGAGATACTTCAGAGAAGAGAAAAACATGGAAGCTAATGTGAAATGGTTTATGTGAGGCTGAAGTTGGCTGTCTCAAAGCTCATCTAACGCTTATCTTTAACTCATTAAAAAAAGCACTAAGAAAACATGAACTTTGTTGCAATGTTTGGTATCATTTGGCCTAATTTTGGTCTCTATTTGGGGAAACGTAGTTAGCAAGCCAAAGTATCTTCTCCCCTGCCCCTCAAGAATGGCATTTGAGCTCTTATGAAGAGCAAATGACTGCTGTCTCTCCTTGCTAACAAAGTGATAAGCGTCAAAAAAACTATTTCCTCTGTTCGGGCCTGAGTGCAGAACTAAATTCCTCTCATTAACACTGGGGTCATGGAGCTGCTAGAGGAGCCTAAAATTCTGGATCCTGCAGTCACATTTTGGCCCTGGAGATCTTTATTCCTGCATCCGTAATGAGTCAGAGATGTTATCACATCTAAGTACATCTGCAAATATTTTATTCAGTAACTAACAGACTAATCTTTTGGAAGCTGCATGACTCACGCCGCAGCATCAGAGAAAATTCCCTTGTTAATTACTACAGAGATGATTGCCCTCCAGAGCACGGCTGCTGTAAGGTGAAATGGCCACATAACTCAAAGCAAGCTCCTCCTGACAACTGCGTGCACCTGCATTTCTGAAAATTCCTCCAAAATATTTTGGCTGGTGAGAAGACAACTTTAGAGCTTGCAAGAGATGGGAGTGTCTCCTCTGAGACCAGCTCTACTGCTGGCACATCCACCTTGGGGGCGGTAAGGGCAAAGCGAAGAGTTGTGTGAGCACGACCACCATGGGAGTGCAAATGTACACACAGGCATGTTTTCATTTAAGTGCAGAGGGTGATGAGATCAACCCAAACTGGGGAGATGCATCTCATGATTTTTTAAAAAGAAATGGAATTAATAAGAATCTGCACTCTAATAATGACGTATTAGGGTAAACCATTTTAGTATAATAATAAACTCTTAATAACAATTTATCAGTGTAGTAAGAGAGAAAATCCTCTGTAATTATACACATAGTGTAACAAAACAGCCCCCCCCCCCCCCCGAAAATAATCATTGACTGAGACTGAAATTAATGAGACACATAAGAGACCAGGGTTCTCCTGTATTAGGCATGATATAAACATATAGAAAATTACAGCATCTATTCCAAAACCAGAGTAGAGATCATGATTGAAAAGTTTGACAACTAAAAGAAAAAATATGAAACATTATACAAAGCTGGTGGTAATGGGTCATATGACACAGCAAAGGAGTGCTCCAGTGATGTGCAAACAACAAAGAATCTACAGAAGGAACTTGAGGATGTTATAGAGGAAACATAGCTCCCGTTAATATATACATTGGGTAATCCAATTCTAGTGGACAAATGTCCTGTCCCAAGTGACATGGAAGCTGGGAACTTTACAAGAAGGGCAAAGAATTAATAAGCAAAACCATTACATATCCTGCTCACCTCTGCTATGGTTTATCCAAGTCAGGTTCGAGGCAGAGAGATGGAACATGGGGTGGGAATGTATGTGTCATATGTGTGGTTGTGCTAAACAGCTTACAGCTCCTGAAGTTGCCAAACCAGAGCACACTCCACACACTCGCTACTCCACATGTACTCCTACCTCATTGCCTACAGAACATGCAAGAATACTAGATCTTGTT